GGATGCATGATAGAGAAGTGGTGGTGGCGTCTGTCAAGCCGCATTTGCTTCGGGCCCAGCAACGGATGAAAGACATGGCAGACAAGAAAAGAACCGAGAGATCTTTCCAAGTGGGAGAGCAGATTTTCCTCAAGCTACAGCCTTATGTGCAATCGTTAGTCGTACATAGAGCTAACCACAAATTGGCTTTCAAGTATTATGGCCCCTACACCATTCTGGACAAAATCGGCAAAGCTGCTTACAGGCTGCAGTTACCTCCGGACAGCAGAGTTCACCCTGTTTTCCATGTCTCCCAGTTTTAAAAAGTGGTCCTGCCTAACTGCTCGGTTGCTTGTAAACTGTCGTCATCCTTTGTTTCTCTTCAGGTTCCACAGCGTGTTCTTCAGCAGCGGGTGCGTCAACACGGCAAGCGTACGATCCCTCAGGGATTGATTCAGTGGAGCGGATCATCTCCAAATGAGGCGACCTGGGAAGATCTGGACTCTCTCCGTCAACAATTCCCTCATTCGGCGGCTTGGGGTCAAGCCATTTCTCATCGGAGGGGGGATGTCAGCAGCCCTGCACCTGCTAACTCAGAAGATACTGAAGGAAGCCCTGTAGCTGATCATGATCGTGCCGGCAAGAGCGAAGCGCCAATTCAAAAAGAACCACGACCCAAGTCCAACCGGACCAAAAGACTTCCCAAGTGGCTTCCTATCCCAAACAGGGCCCGCTGAGCGGGTGTACCATTATATAGCTACAGGAGTGGTACGTTTGTCTTCGGCCAGGATTTGGACGGCTCAGGCCGTAGCTTGTAACTGGCCTATCCGAATAGAGGTGTGGGTGGTTGGTTGGAATCCCTCTATCGAAATTCAAATTCCAATTCCTCCTCGCCATGAAATCCCTATATCGAGAGAGTAGCTAGTGAGATCCTCATAGTGCCAGAGACCGCGCGTCCCTAGCAAGTGGCGTGTGGGTGAAGAAGATGTGGACGCTTGATGGGTGTGGGGTGGTCACCCATGCTGAAAAGAGTGATTTTAGAGGGAAGGTATGGCGGGGATGCTTTGGCAGCATCGTCGACGACCGTAGGTTGCGACAACGGGTAGTGATGTTTTTTAGGGATTGTTTGGTTTAAGTCCCGGCCGGCTATCATGCCTGGAAAAAGTGAGTGCCTAGGACAGGCCTAAGAGCAACGATGTAGTATGGCTGGGCAGGCTAGCCTGAGTGAAGAGAGTTTGGTTGATGCCCTAGCCTATAAAAGCATCATAGAATTATTTAAGGAGTCGACAATATGTACAGTTGTGGACACTGCGTTGCTGGCTACTAAACCAGTAAACCACCCATGCTTTAATAGTAACATTCCCTATTACAATGCTTAATAGTAACCTTCCCAAACTCTTTCAAAATACTATGACAATCATCTAAGACAGGAGCTACCACCATAGAATAACCTTCATTGTGCTTCTAAACGTCCACCACCGTGATGTTGTCCAATCTCACCAAGGTGTTATAACTGTTGATGTTTTGCGTTAGCTTTAGCCCCTTGTAGTGAGCAGCAGCCTCAGCTTGAACCACGTTAGCCACATGCTCCAGAGTTGTCGTAGACAGAGTGATAAAACTCCCTCGATGATCGCGAACGACCGCTGCGCAACACCCAGAGTATTCTTCATCCAAGAATGAAGCGTCAACATTAATCACATGTTCTCCCGCTAGAGCAGCCAACCATTTGTTTAGTTTCGGAGGTGTATGTTATGCTCCAAATCTATACCTACTAATAAAGCATGGTGCGTTTCGTCAATTTTTTCATCCCTTTACCGTCAAATTTTTTTTCCTATCCAAGGTGGTACTAAATTCTTATGTGTTTGTCGGCTAGAAAAGAATTCGTACGTGGGACGCGCACTGTGGGCCAGCGAAGCCAGACCACTTATTTTTCTGCCCACACAGCTAGAAAAATTATATTTTCTGCACTGGGCGACGAATAGTGGGCTGGCCATTTTTCTTTGTTTCTGTGTTTTACTTCTATTTTTATTCTCCTTTCCCTATCTCTTTTTTCACTTTCAAGTTTGTTATTCCTTTAAAAATTCTTATAAAAAGTTCAGAATAAAAAAACAAAATTTGGAAAATGTTCAGCATTCCAAAATTTTGTTTCTATTTATAAAAATATTCGGAACTTGCAAAAGTTTCCCATTTTTTCAATTTATTTTATTGTTTTTCAAAAAAATCTACATTTCTAAAAAGAAAATGGCATTTCAAAAAAAATGCTCCAAATTCGAAAAATATTCTTATTTGAGTGAAATTTTCGCAATTAAAAACTGTTTGTGTATAAAAGATACACATTTTCTAAAACTCTTATGAGTTTTCAACACATGTTCCTGTTTAAAAAAATTTTAATAAATTCAAATAATGTTCATGTTTTTTAGTAGGAGTTTCAGACAGGACAACCCAATAATGGGCTAGCCCATTTTTCATTGTTTCTATGTTTTACTTCTATTTTTATTATCTTTTTTCCTTTCAAGTTTATTTCTCTTTTAGAATTTAATTTGTAAATTAAAAATTCTCAAAAAAACTTTCATAATTAATTATTTTTTGAAAATGTTCAGAATTCCAAAGTTTTGTTGATATTTTGAAAAATATTCGAAACTTGCAAAAAAGTTTTCCATTTTTTCAAAAAAATATTGTTTTTCAAAAAATTTGTGATTTCTAAAATGAAAATGGCATTTCAAAGAATATTCTTGCTTTAGTGAAATTTTCACAATTAAAAATATTGTTCGTGTATAAAAGATACACGTTTTCTAAAAATCTTATGAATTTTCAACACATGTTCCCATCTAAAAAAATATTCCCAAATTCAAATAATGTTAATATTTTTATAAAAAAAGTTGGTGTTTTCAGAAAATGTTTGTGAATTTAAAAAGATGTTTCCTTTCATACTTTGTTCATGTTTTTTCAAGAGTGTACATAATTTCAAAAAATTGGTTAGGATTTTAAAAATTGTTCATGTTTTCTAGAATACTCAGAAACTACATAGATTAAAATCCCCTCGATTGAAATGATTGAAAAGAAAAGTAGATTGAATAACTCATGGGCCTCCTCTGACGTAATGACGAAACAAAACTCTTAAATGCCCTCGATCAATGAATGAAAAAATAGCAGATTGATTCGTTCACACGTGGCGAAATCAAGAAGCTAAATATTCCTTTTTTGTGTGCACACAGGGTTTTGGTTGCATATATAATTCTCATTGACTTTAAATGCATACTATTTTATTTACCGTTGCAGCACACGGGCATATGTGCTAGTTCAAGTATAAAGAGGAAAGCTAACTTCTGACGAGCGAGCGGAGCGAGGCCCGTCGCCGTTAGGCTTGGGTCGAACGGATCAGTATTGATCTAGGTCGCCTATGTTATATATACCTCTTGTAAGCCGCCACAGTGATAAGTTGATCAGTTGTAAATCTCCGGCGTTTGTAACCTCCACTGATATAGTGAAGTTTGGCTGGCTGGCGCCCGTGGTTTTTTCTCCTTCGTGTTGGAGGTGTTTTACACATTAAATTTCGTGTCTCCTGCTTATTTTCGTTCATCGTTGTGTTGATTTGCCCGCCGTATCTCTAACAGGAGCATCCGATGCTTTCCCTGCTTCATTGGTGGTTGCGCCTCTTCCCGTTTAACAAATTGCCTTCGTTGTCACCATCAGTACCAGCTCGTAGTGGCCATTAGTTCCGCAAGTTGGACAGGTTACGTATAAGATCGCTGGTGGAGATTGATTCATCACACAAACAGAAATCGATAACACCTGCACCTGACAGACCAATCAGGCTAGCGAACGATTTTTTCTTGCTGATTTCGAGAGCCTCACAACAAACTGCGTTGGTTCGCGCACACTTAAAGAGCACATGAGCTATATCTTCCGCACCAGATTTACAGAGCGTACATTAGGAAACGTTGCATACATGGCGATTAGCAAGGACACTGAAGCACGGATCAAAAGAAGAAAGAACTTTGTAGCCGGAGCTACAAAGGTACTTTGCGGAAATTAACGAGCCGTCCAGTGAGCTAGCTTCTAGGTGTTAGTGGCCGCACGTTATGGCAATTGATGAATCTCTGTACATATATTTACTCACCGGTTTTGGCATGGATCCATACAGGCTGTGTCGCATTGCTCTTGTCATTTCAGTTCCACAAAGGTTGGCAAATCTTATGAAAAATAATCCAAAAATATACATGACTGAAGCACATGCGTCTACATTGTTATGAAATTCCAGTTCAAATTTGATTCAAAAAACGGATGACCAAAAAAGAGTACACCGCGTGGCGATGCTCGTCACCTTTGTATCTTGCCTTGGGTGTGTGTTGTGTGCGGTGGTGGCGTGTGTTTGTATCGGTGTGCTTGTATAGTCGGTGCTTTATATATAAAGCGGGGAGAAAGCCTTTTTCGGTAAAAGAGTACACCGTTAATTGTACATTCCACAGAATTGCCACAAGAATGAACGTTTTTTTTTTCATTTCGAGAAAAACAGGCAAAAGGCTGCAAAATTTAAGCAAGTAAAGAACACAAAAACAAAACCCGGCTGGAGCCAACAGACAGGACAACCGACGTAAAAACAATTACTCACGGTCACGAGCCATAACCAAAAGCCAATAAAAACGATTACTCATGGGCCATGACCAAAAGCCGTTCAAAAGAAACAGGCGCTCACTTAATGAAAAGCAGGAACAAAAAATGAAACTTAATGAAATGTAGGAACAAAAATTATCACGCTGTAGTCTGTACTCTGGCTGCCATACGGGCACAAACATGATCAACGCTTTTTCGAAAAGAAAAAAATGTGGTACTGTCAATCGCAGACTTGGACTGAGCTGGGTGCCATTATTGTCCACATGGGTGTAGTTATGGGCTTCAATTCAAACTCTGCAGTGCGCATGCTCAGGCACAGTTCTATATAAACCTCACACATACGACGTTCCATCCATCAGAGCAGATTGTCACATAATCCCTGGCGATTGTCACATAATCCGGATCGAATGATGTTGAGGTGCTTGCTACTCCTGGCTATCTTCTTTTTGACAGGACCAACAACACATGGTGGCGAGTCACGGCCAGTGGTGCCAGCAGTCTTTCTGTTTGGTGACTCGCTGGTCGATGTGGGCAACAATGACTACTTCCTCACGGTCGCCAAAGCCAACTTCCCTCCCTACGGCAGGGACTTCAAAAACCAAGTTGCCACAGGGAGGTTTGGAAATGGAAAACTGCTTAGCGATATCATAGGTTAGATTCTATGCAGTATCACACTTTGGTTCTTGTTAGATCCATATCTGCGACTTACAATGCACCATTTTGTGTTTGCAGCTGAAAAGGTGGGGTTTACTGGCTCTCCCCCGCCATATCTCGGCATGCGTGCATCACGGCAGAACCTAATGACCGGGGCCAACTTCGCATCAGCTGGATCGGGCTATTATGATCCCACGGCACTTGAGTTTGTAAGTATCATCTATCAGTGTCCACTCCATCTTATATTGCCTGAAAAAAGTAGTGGTCAATCAAAAGAATTTAAATCCATACGATGAAAATTACTCCCTCTATCCCAACCGTACAATCTTTGGGCTAATATATCCGGGGTAAATCTAACGCAGAAAGTCATCCCGCTATCCCAACAATTGGAATATTTCAAAGAGTACAAATCTAAGCTAACAGTGGTTGCCGGTAACAGTCAGTCTCATGCAATCATCTCTGGAGCACTCTACATTATCAGTGCTGGTTCAAATGATTTTGGCCCGAACTACTACATCAATCCCTTACTCTTCAAGACATTGACCGTTGACCAATTTGCTGATTTGATAGTCAGCATCTTCAGCAACACCGTCACGGTAAGAAGCATTCTTAGTTGCGATGGTACTAGAGGTTGTCTCCCTTCCTCTATTGCTTGAAGCATCCATGTTATTCTGACAATTTCAATATTTGAACCTTGTACTGATTGTAGCAACTTCATGGCATGGGGGCAAGGCGCATCGGTGTATTTTCCTTGCCACCATTAGGTTGTTTTCCACTCGCGATCACGGTGTTCGGCCATGGGAGGGGCGGGTGTGTCTCCAGGCTCAATCGCGGCTCTCAGATATACAACAAAAAGTTAAACATCGCTGTCAATACACTGTCAAGGCAATACCATGACCTCAAGATTGCTGTTCTTGACATCTACACGCCTCTATATAATATTGCAAACTCTCCTAGATCACAAGGTAGGACAGATGTGCTATGGCCGCTGCAATTTATACTTTACACATTAGCGTTGTACATGTGTGTCGTCTGATCTGAACTTTTTGTTGGTTGGCATTAGGGTTTATCGAGGCAAGGCGGTCATGCTGCGCAACTGGTACAATAGAAACCTCAGTGTTTCTATGCAATCCCTTGTCAATTGGGACTTGTCCGAACGCGACATCATACGTATACTGGGACGTCGCCCACCCGTCAGAGAAGACAAACCAACTGATAGTAGACTCATTTCTCGTTGAGCTCGGCAGCCTGGCTGCTTAAATCTAGTAGATGGTGGACGCATGCTTCATTGATTTAGGCGTCAAGGTGATAATGCTGGTTGGTTAGCTCAAAATAAAAATCCGTATGCCTATCTGGTTGTAATTGCTTCTATGTTTTTTGCAAGTTATTGTAGCATGCATGCATGCTTGGGAACCTCATGATTTATTTCTTTACTGTAAGGCCATCATATAATTTATGTGATTGTATGGCGTCCGAACTATGGAAGAGATACCCTTGATGAGTACTTTCTAAATATGCTTGATTTCCATGTACTACCATTCGACTTTGCATATAATTGAATTTAAAGAGAGAAGTTGTACATTCTGGACATACGTTAGTAATTAGCTATAATTAAGGGGATACTTTTGAGAAATCCCCGAGAGTATCAAGGTTAAACCCGAGAAAATGACGAGTACAAAATGCAATCATCAACATCCCCAAGCTTAAATGTTCACAATCCTTAAGCAAACGTCACCCATAAGAAACTAACTGTTGAACCCAGTGGCAGAGTCAAAACTTTTACGAAGCCCGGGCAAGTCAAGCCTAAGGGCATCTTCAACACGGATCACTTATTAGAGATCACCAAATGTTCGCGGACACCTCACATTGAGCAATAAACACGGAGGTGTTAGCTTTCAATTATCTACACTAGTCATCCGCCCGTGCAATAACACGGCCTACCTATGATAGGGACACATATTTATTAATAAACTTAAACTTAGATGTAAAATGCAAGTATTTAAATTTTAGTTATAATACAACTGGCACTAGTAGAAAAAGGGCCTATTGTCCCGGTTCATAAGGGTCTTTAATCCCGGTTCTGGAACCGGGATTAAAGGGTCGTTACTAAAGCCTCCCCCTTAGTCCCGGTTCTTACACGAACCGGGACTAAAGGCCATTCACGTGGCTGTTGTCTGGAGGTCTACGGTACTAAAGGAAATTTTATGATTTTTTTTATTTTTTTATTTTTTTTTGAATTTTTTATTTTCAAATTTCTAAATTATTTTAACCTCTAATCACCCCCTCATCACTGCTCAATTTAACCTCTAATCTCTAATCACCCCTCATCATTCCAAATCATCTAACTTCCCGGACGGTCACCCATCCTCTCACTACTCTAGCCTGAGCACGCTTAACTTACGGGTTCTATTCTCCCTCGTTTCCAAGTCTGCACTTGTTGTTTTCCTCACAATAGTAAGATGTCGATCCTATTAACCCCCAGGAATTTAGCTTGAGCATCAAGTCACATATTTCACTGTATGAGTTTGAAATTATTGTTCTAAAAAACAATAATTATTTAGTAACACTAATATTTCTTGAATAAGTAGTTTGACCATAGTTTGATCATAGTTTGACCACAGTTTGACCACAGTTTAACCAGATTTGACCAAAATTCAAAAAAACTGAAATAATTATTTAGTAACACTAATATTTCTTGAATAAGTAGTTTGACCATAGTTTGACCACAGTCTGACCATAGTTTGACCAGATTTGACCAAAATTCAAAAAAAAACTGAAATAATTATTTAGTAATACTAATATTCCTGAATAATTATTTAGTAACACTAATATTTCTTGAATAAGTAGTTCGACCATAGTTTGACCAGATTTAACAAAAATTAAAAAAAATCAAAAAAACTGAAATTTGAGCATAACTTTTTTCCTTTTAGAATTTGAGGATTCTAAAAATTTGCAAACAGGCCATAGGTCGTCAAAATCGGATGCGGATTTTCGTGCTGAACATTTTGATATATTATATGTTTTTTTCTGACATAGTATGCAAAAGTTATAGCCGTTTCACATTTTCCCTACACTTTTTGCAAAACATGTCCGAATTTAAGTTTTTAAATTTTCCTAACTAGTAGATGTAGTAACATAACTACACCTCGAAGGATTTTAATTTTTGAAGTTTTTATCATTTTCTTTTGCCTCTTACAAAACTGAAAAGGCGATCCGGGGGGGTAGAGTTTGAAAATGGGACCTTTAGTACTGGTTCGTGCCACGAACCGGTACTAATGCCTCAAACCCCATTAGTACCGGTTCGTGGCACCAACTGGGACTAAAGGTCCCATTTGAACCAGGACTAATGCCTTTGCCGCATGAACTGGGACCAATGCTCACATTAGTCCCGGTTCATGACTGAACCGGGACTAATGGACTTATCTGTCCCGAACGAAAACCCTGTTTTCTACTAGTGTGGACATATGCCAAGTTATTAAAAAATGATAACAAATAATAAACACATGGATTATAAAATTCATTATAGGGAAGAGTGCATTTGCTTTCCAACTTATGTTGCGCAAACTGCCATCACTAGTCTCAATGAAGTCTTCATGCTATAGGGGCAAGATGCACCTCTTTGTGAATCTTACACCCCCTACTAAGCGATGGACATAGTATGGCTTAATTTGATCGATATGGAATATACACATCTTCCCGACTTTCGATCCACACTGTAGCATATACAGAACAACTCAACAAAATTTGAAGCATGAGAGGCATATGCCGCATGGTAAGTTTCATGTTTCCAAAGGTGATGTCTATATCTGTTATTTGCATATACTAAATTATTAGAAGGGGCATAGGCTATTTTAAGAGATCATTCTTGCCAATATTGTTCAGGTCGATATGTGTTCCATTTACTTGGTGTATACATGTACCACAACTATAATGCTACTCGCACCATGTACGTAATATATTTTTCTTTAAGTGGTGCGGTCACAAAATAATGCTATTTAAAATAATCAAGAATCTTTCGTGCCAACTGATATTTATTAAGATGATTATAAATATAATATCTATTGCATGAGAATTTATGCATACTTTGTTGCCACAATTAGGCGATTTGATATATCAAATTATATGACAATTGTAGTGTTGATGTATCAAGGAGCCATTAGGGCAAGAATTTTGCATGTTCGTCAACGACTTACTATGAGTCTTCTTTTTTACTAAGGTTTTTTTTTTCAATAAGGCGTCTCAGTTTTCTTTGTTGAGGCCTGAGGACGGCTTACTTATACGCGTCGTTTTACTTTGTCGAACCGGACAGGCAAGTGGATTTTATTTCCATGTGATTTGAGATGTACGATCTTCTTTTAGCTTCGGGCATGAAGATTATTTTGTTTTTGTTTTTGAGGGAGGGCATGAAGATTTTTTATTTGTATATGTGTGTCCTTTTTCTTGCAAGGAGAAGGCACGCGCTTTTATCCCGAAACATGGACGTGGGTGCTAAGGACTCTTTATTTTTGGACGTGTGAGTTTAATCTTCTATTTTACATACGTGATGTGAACTATCCCCTTTCTTTTTGAGAAAGAGAACTATCTTTCTACGTGACTCTTTTATGTGCGTGAGTGCAACCTTTACGTACGTGCTGATTCTTTTCTTTATGTACGTACCTGGTTGCTGTACTATTTCTGACATACTTCTTTAGCTTGGGGCATACATGTATTTTTTTTGCAAGGATAAGGCATGCACTTTTACCGGGGAACATGGGCGTGAGGGTTGAGGACTCTTTTTATATTTTGACATGAGATTTTAATATTTTATTGTTCGTACGTGGTCAGAACTACTTTTTTTAATGACTCTCTATTTACATACGTGGGATTCTTTTAATAAGGGAGGGTTCTCTTTTTTTTAATGCGTGGGTTTAATCACTTACGCATGTTGCATTTTCTTAATAATAGCGTACGTTCTTTTAATAGATCTTGACCATTAAATTTATAATCTAATGGCTATATTAATCTTGATGACATGGATTAACGTGGAGACTCTAACGGTGCCTCCAATTAGTAAATATAAGATAAGATATAAGACTAGTAGAAAACAGGGCTTTGGCTCAGGGCAGAAAAGGGCATTAATCTCGGTTCACCTATAAACCGGGACCAATGGGTGCATTAGTCCCGGTTTGTGAGGCCATGGGGCCGGCCATGCCTCGGGAACCATTGGTCCCGGTTCATCTGACCCCTTTGATCCGGTTCCAGACACGAAACGGGACCAATGGGCCTCACTCCTGGCCCACAACCTTTAGTTCTGGTTGGTGTCTGGAACCGGGACCAAATGTGGTCCTTTAGTCCCGGTTTTAGCCGCCAACCGGGACTAAAGAGAGGCCTATATATACCCCTGCCAGCGAGCAAAGCAGTGCACTGCTCAGTTTTTTTGGCCCGCCGTGGGAGAGCTTTGTGGTGCTCTAGCTCACCTCCTATGCACATGATACGCCTCCAACATATCTACTTTTCCTAACGCTTTTCATCTTGTTTTGGACTCTAATTTGCATGATTTGAATGAAACTAACCCGGACTGATGCTGTTTTCAGCAGAACTACCATGGTGTTGTTTTTGTGCAGAAATAAAAGTTCTTGGAATGCATGGAACGAAACTTGCGAGGATTTTTTTATACAATAAAGAAAATATCTAGAGTCAAGAACCACCGGAGGGGGGCACCTGGGTGGGCACAACCCACCATCGCGCGCCACCCCCTCCAGGCGCGCCCAGGTGGGTTGTCCCCACCCGGTGGCCCCGATGACCCCGAAACCGACGCTATAAATCACATTTTTCAGAAAAAAATCAGGGAGAAAGAATTATCGCGTTCCACGAGATGGAGCCGCGGCCATCTCCTGTTCTTCATCGGGAGGCCAGATCTGGAGTCCGTTTGGGGCTCCAGAGAGGGGGATTTTCGATCTTCGTCATCACCAACACATCTCCATCGCCAGTTCCATGATGCTCCCCACCAGGAGTGGGTAATTCCTTCGTAGGCTCGCTGGTCGGTGAGGAGTTGGATGAGGTCCATCATGTAATCGAGTTAGTTTTGTTAGGGCCTGATCCCTAGTATCCACTATGTTCTAAGATTGATGTTGCTATGACTTTGCCATGCTTAATGCTTGTCACTTTGGGCCCGGGTGCCATGATTTAAGACCTGAACCGTTTATGTTATCACCATTACATCCATGTTCTAGATCCTATCTTGCAAGTTATAGTCACCTACCACGTGTTATGATCCGGCA